TTTATTTTATTTTTTTACCCAGTTACTGAGCACAGGCCCAAAGGCTGAAATTGCCAAGCAGCCAACAACAAACAGCACTATCGAAATTGTAATAGATCAGCGTGCAACACGTTTCTTGAATTGAGTGAGGTTATTCATATTATTTCAAGAGTTTTGGAAAGAGACGATGACGGGAGGCAATTCCAGAGTGGAGCAGTGCAAGGGAAGAAGCCACTCAAATTTTTCATCTTCTTATTTTTTTCTGGATCCTAATTATTTAGGTTTTTGTGTGGTGAGCGTCTTGCCACAAGATGACATTTGGTTTGGAACCCTCGCAGAAAGCAGTGCAGCGTCCATACAGCATATCGGAGAATGGTCTTTTGACCATGCCGCCACAGACTTACAATTGCGTCTTAAGCCAAGTAGGTCGTGCCTGCCACCCGACAGCATGCCCTGCTGTAGATGTGTTCACCACTTGTCTCATTAGTTCACGCAGCTGGACGATGGCCAAGTCAAGTGAGAACTCGCCTTGCTGGTGCACCCGGTTTAATCACGTGCAGCGGAAACTCGGATTCGAACCCAGGATCTCAACGGCGTGTTCTAGCTCGGTGTCTCCGACACGGCCATTATAAACCATTGAGTCAATCCGGCCACCCATCTGCATTACTTCACAGCCCCCTCGCGCGCTGCCCCCTCACCCAGCGTGGCCCGGCAAAGCTCGTCACCACCCACGTCGGCACTTTGGCGAAAAGAGCCGGCATCGTGGAACAGTTAATTCATTACACGGCTGGCCGGTATAAATATTTAAGAGGCATGGCGATGGTGATAAAAGGTCTAACTCTTTCTGAAATGCAACGTAAGGGAGATCGGCCCGTATGAGCCTCTCTTTAAATCTTAATGAAGAAGCAAAAGACTGCGGCATTACGCCGCTCGCTACGGACCGCCCTAATGCGCGCGGCTAACGAGGATGGAAAAGGCCAGCGATTGGGCCGGCTTATTGCTCATCGGGCCTCTTGACTTTCAAATGACTTTCAAGCATTCTCCAGGCGCGGTTGCCGGAGAGAGAGCATCTTCAGAGGGCGACGTTGCACGTAATGCGCTTGCCGCTTCCTGGAGAGAGCGAGAGAGAGCGAGGGAGAGAAAGTCATGCACATTGCCGGATGGGGTCGGGGTGCCGTTTGTTGTGGATGTAGCGAGCCTCGTCAAGCCCAGCGGCGGCTCCAAGTGCCACTTGGAGGAGGGAACAAAGCGCGCCATGGGTTTTGAAATCGGGGGAGGCACGGAATGGTGGATTCAGCGAGATTCTGAAATGCGACAATGGTGATGATACTGCGGCAGCTAGTGCAGCACGACCGCCAGTGCCAGCACAACCAGTAGGACCATTATCACCACGAGCAGCGCGTGCAGTACCAGCAGTGGCACCTGCACCACCAACAGCGCCAATCGCCTTTGCGCTCCACCTATGAGACCGGGTTCTCCTGGGAAGCTGCATTCTCCCCGTAGGGTCTAGAAATCATAGATGACGAAGGCTCTGCCCGCGTATTCCAGTTTCTCGACGAATTCATCTGCACGTGCAACTTTAGATCAGAAAGTTGCTGCTTGCCTCGCGGTTTGTCGCCTCCTCGATCGGGAACCAGCCGAGCCGTCATTTCCCTTCCACGTCGCCTCCTCGATCGGGAACCAGCCTTCTACGTTTCACCGTCTTCGGAAGCGCTATCGAAACCAGGCACGCTACCACCCACCACACTGACCGGTTCGCTGGAACACGGAAGAGGTCTTGGCCACATCATATCCCAGATGAGCGTCTTATGACTCGGGGATTGACCGCCTGCCTGAGCCAGCACCGCTGTTCACATACCCGAAACCTGGCACCGTGCCACCCGCTCCCACCGCCGCGGCTTTGGTAGTAAACGAGCGGGCGGGTGGGCGGGCGGGTGGGCGGGCGATGAGTTCGTAAATCAGAGCGTCTTCCTCAAGACCAGTATTCATGTTTTCCTCTGTAGGTGGTACTGAGCCACTGATGGAAATTCCGAATTTCCATAGCAGAGGTCAAGTCTATTCATTTCGTGGCACTTAAATTACAAGATGTTTTGAAACCAGCTGACAGCGGGACACGCAATGAGGAAATCTGGAAGAGAACATGGTAGCTGAGTGTTGCAGGCAAAACTTTTCGCAGGGTGGGACGTGTGCTCAGGATGGAGAAGGGCGAGTTACCAAGACAGCCATTGAAGTGGTCTCCATGGGTCCGGTGACCAAGGGGAAGAGCATAGAGTAGATGGTGGGATGCTCTTAGGGCAGATCTTGGACACCAGCTGCAGATCTGGGCTAGGGTATAAAGCGTTGGCGAGGTGCGTGGCATCAACATCTTTGGCCACGGTGACGTCTTGATCTTGACTCTTGTTTAGCATGCGTGCGGTTTGTGGGCCGAGTTTCACACACACAGCTCGACGGACCACAAAGCCTCATACGGTTCGCTCGCCGGCCTTGAAAAGCGCGCGTTCTGCGTCCACATCTGAGCCGCCTGTTGCATTATCCGCCAACTCTCGACCCAGCCTGGCAGTGCTGGGCTTTCCAGGGAGAAAGAAGAGCGTAGGCCGTGTGGGGGGGTGGCCGCTACACCGGGGCCGTCACGAGCGCCAGTGAGGCGCGCGGGGACGTGCCGTGCCCTCGCCACGCTCGCCCGTCGCCGCTGTTTTGCTTGAGCGTGGGCGCGGACTATCGCATTTCTGGAAGGCAGCGGGGACCCCCCCGCCTCGTCGACCGGTGCTCCCGAATTCCCCGCGCCCCCCGCGGAGACCCCGCACCCGCCTAATTGGTCGTCTGAGCCGGTGGCGTCCCCTCGCGCCACGTTCACCGGGGCGACACTCAGGGGCCGATGATCCTGCTGCCCCCTTCCCACCCCCTGCCCCCCCCACCGCCCTTTCGCCTCTCCACCTCCTCACCCCGACCATTGATTTTTCACAAATTAGAGACACGTGGCTCGCTACACGTAGCGTCTCCGCTTTTATGTGAGCGTTCGCTCGTTAGCGAGTTTATGTTTACGTTGTGTTCTTTTTATACAAGCGTGGTAGTAAATATCCCTTTTGGTGAGGGGTGCGTGTTTACGCAGCAAAGATAAAAAATTCAAAACGTGGGTCGTGACTCTTGTTTTTTTTTAAGCCTCTGCCCAGTGGCAGGTCCTTGGCTCAAATGCCCACCATCATTTCACTCCACGCAAACCCCCAACTCTTCCCTCACGTCACCCAGCAATGGCGCAGAAGATCTCGGGTAAATACAGTACAGAGTTTATTTATTTCGCAAAATCTAATCTGACGTTAACTGAATAGATGTGTCTTCGTTCCGGACACAGGTGCCTTCGTGTTCCACTTCCATATGAAGCAAGCTGCGTGGTGCATCGCGTCACTGCCTTCGAGACGCTCTGGCCATCTCTCGCGCTGCACGACAAGCGGGTTTATTTTCGAGTCGTACCACGGGCTGTTCGGCAAGATGTCCGACGTTCCCCTCTATGTGCTGGGAGCTTGTTCAGGATCTGAATAGTTGCCCAAGCTCCCAAGACAAGGAGAAAAATGTCGGGTATCGTGCGGAACGGCACACGGCACAACCCGAAAGCACAGCACGGAGCTGTGCGACACAACCGCGACAGCTCCATGCACAGCAGCGTCCTCGTTCAACTTGTTAATCTTCAGAGGCCTCTAGTGGGAGAGCGTCGCTATTGCAAGTGATGCTTGCCCTTCTGCCCCTTCCGTGGTCGCTTGACCTCGTCGTTTTCTCTGCTCCGTCGATTTTGACCTTGGCTTGCGCGACGGTGCGAGATGGGACGTGAAGGTGGCAGGGGTTAGGGGTGACGTTCCCCCGGAGGAGTGAGCGGCCTTGCGGACGGGCGTGATTTAGCGGCACCGCAAAAGTCCAATTTGTTTCCAGAAGCCGGCTGCGTGAGCTTGGCCTTCTTTCAATATCGGCAGAGCTTTGAACCACCGTGAAAAGAATGCATCTTACAATGTAATACAATTTGGAGCTCAAGATGATTGTGTGGACACGGTGGGGATTTCATTTTATCGGGAGAGGCAGGCGATGTGTCACTATGTGAGTTAATGGGTCTCTGTCATCGTGGGTCTCTGTGTCTATGGGTCTCTACATGGCTATGGGAATATATGTGGGTTTAGTGGCATCTGTGCGAGTCTGTACAATACAAGTGGGATTTCTATTGCGTATAAATGCGACCGCTTGTCAAGATGCTGTATGAGCACTGTGGGCATGTTTTATAAAACGAGGCAGTCAATCATAGAGACGAGACTAACAGAGCGATCCATAGACTCGCATAGACCCACAGGGAGCCATCGACTTTTGATAGAGATCAACAGATTTGCATAGAGACCCACAGACTCGCACACATTCCTCTAGACTCCCATCAAAGACCCACGGACTCGCATAAGGACCCACATATTGACATACAATCAAATGTTAGATTTATACATGGGGAGTCTAAAACGTGACCGTCTAAACAGCGGCAAACTTATTGAGCGAAGAGTGCTGACGCTCTGACGGCACGTACAGAAGTGATGGACCGGCACCCGGCTGCCCAATTTGAAGGTGACGAGTCTGCGGCCACGCTGTAATCTCGCATAAAATCGGCAAAAATGAGAGATTTTGGTAGGGCCGGGTGGAATCGTGCGGAGGAACGTGCCTCCCGAGACGCCTTCCGCCCTGCAGGGTGTGTGCGTGCGTTATGCGTGCTGCGTGCGTGCTGCGTGCATTCTGCGTGCGTGCTGCGTGCGTGCGCACGCATCGGGCGCATGTTCCCCAAGGGCGTTGATTCACGAGCGTGCGTCTGTCTGCGCATGTGTGTCTGCAGTAGCGCAACGGTTAACGCTACGAACCCAGGGACCCAAGTTCGATTTCCGCTAATGGAGAATCCTTGTCACTGTCGTTTGTATATGTGTGCGTGCATGAGTGCGATCGCACGCGCGTGTGTGTGTGCGTACATCCACGTGTGTGTGCGCGCCTGTGCGTGTTGTCCCCAGGGTGCCGTGGTTGTGGAGAAGTCGGTCCAGGACCTCATGAACCTGGTGCATGACCTCAGCGCCTACTCGGACCAGTTCCTGCACATGATCTGCATCAAGCTGCAGGAGTACCGCGCCATGTGTCACGCAGCATACAGGTGCGGTGCGCCATGTGTTCTACAGGTGCCGTGTGCCACGCGGTGTAGAGGTGCCGTGTGCTACCGTGTAAAGAACTGGGCTTCCGACTGGACAAATGACCTCACTCACTATTGGACAAGGCACATGGGTCACTGTTAAGCCGTGAGCTCACTCACTATTGGACAAGGCACATGGGTCACTGTTAAGCCGTGAGCTCACTCACTATTGGACAAGGCACATGGGTCACTGTTAAGCCGTGAGCTCACTCACTATTGGACAAGGCACATGGGTCACTGTTAAGCCGTGAGCTCACTCACTATTGGACAAGGCACATGGGTCACTGTTAAGCCGTGAGCTCACTCACTATTGGACAAGGCACATGGGTCACTGTTAAGCCGTGAGCTCACTCACTAATGGACAAGGCACATGGGTCACTGTTAAGCCGTGAGCTCACTCACTATTGGACAAGGCACATGGGTCACTGTTAAGCCGTGAGCTCACTACTAAAAGGTATGGAAGCCGGCTAACAATCGGGCAGCCGGTCTGTCGTTCAGCTCGGCAACATGTAAACACGATGTGATTCACCACATTCATTCGCAGTTTTTATTTCATCATTGCGATGTAGGTTTTTAACACGCTCCCGCATCCGCGCGTTTGTGCCGACGGGCGCGCGCGCCGCAGTCATTCCCGTCCGCCTCCGCCCTCCCCCCCCTCCCCGCGTTGTCACTTCACTCAGGGCCCCGACACGTGCAGCCGCCAACTCCCAGCCGTGCCAAGCCACGATCGCTCGCAGCCTCCTGCTCCTCCTCCTCATGATTAACGCTCGCCGTAGTGGAAGGAGAGCAGACGTAACAGCGGCAATTAATCTGTCATTACACTAACTCGGCTTTTGTCGCGACTGTGCCCTTCTGATTAACGGCCACGGTTAGCACGCCCGGCGCTCCCCCCATCCCCCCCCCCCGGCGGCAAGGCCCCTGTAACCTGGCACGGTCGGTGGTGCCACGGAGAAAGCAGTAGGGACCTCAAACTCGCGTCAGGTGTGCGGTCGGATTGCATCTTCTCTCCAAGTTGTTCGCCGCTCGAGTCTGTGAACGAATGTGTTGGGCTCGGCAGTCGGGCGGAACGTGACTCGCCAGTGCTCGGCTCACTCGTTCAAATCCCTGTCGGGGGTCAACTCGGCCAATCATCCCTCCCAGAGTAGATACAACAAGTACCTCTTTGTGAGATGTCAACAGTGGCTGTTTTGTTGGATAGACTGGCCTTTATCATAGGAATGTGGAATTTTCACTGATATGAGAACCCCCCCGCCCCTCACCAGTGCTGCTACTGCCGGTAGTGCCGGGGTACCCAGAGGCATTCCATTAACAGGCTGTGACCTGCTGAGCAAACTCAATTGCCTTGCAGCCACTTCCAAGATTTCCATGTTTATACAAATGCCATTAAGAAGCATTGATTTGGAAAGCCCACAGGATTTTAGATTAAATGGTTTATTCGTCTTCCGGGGATTAAACACCTTTGTCTTTTTTACATGTATACATTTGTAATAAATTGTCCCTGCTCCATTGGCCCATACGTATGTTTGATTACATTACAATAATTAAATCAGGAGTGCGCTTTATTTGCTCGCAGAAGGATGCCGGCGCCAACAGCCTCGCCGCACGCTTTCACGGTGGCCATTAACAACGACCCCCGGCGCGGTCGTTCGCTAGAGCCGGCCATCGTGCGCCTGCGTCACGACCCACATTTTATAAAATCACCTGCGGGCACCGCCGTGATGAAAGGCAGCGGCCGACACGCCGGGCGATAAGGCGGCAGTCGCCGCCGACATTTTAACACGCATTATTTATTTACTCCGCGCGTTTTTTAAGAGCGCCGCTTTTAACGAAGCTCTCGGGGCGGCACGCAGGAGGTGGGGGGGCGGGGGCTGTCTGGAGGCCCCGGGGGCGGCCGTGGGCCCCACTCGTCGATCGCGCCCCGCCGTGAGTGCCCGCCTCTCAAGGTTACGCGCCGCCTGAAGGCCGCGCCGCTATCTCTGTAACGGGATATGTCACTGAAGCTAAAGGTTAGCTCCATTAGCGGCAGCCTCTATCGGTTATCGGATTAAGAGCCTGGCGAGGACCGCGCGGGACGGTGGGGGGGGAGCGGACTTAGCCTCGGCCTAATTGACTGAAAAGAAGTAGCTCAACTCCGAAACAATTTACTTACCGGCTGTCATTTTCCGGCGCATCTTATTATGCCGTACGTACGGCATCATTTTGCCAGGATGAGCCACTCGCGCCGTAACACAATTAAAGCGCACGAAATGAAACCAATTACAGCTCATTGAGCCCGCTCCCCGCTTTATTAACCCCGCGAGCGATGCCCCGTCGCGGGGTGCCACGGGCCGTTCCGATGGCGATACCCGACGGACGCGACGCTCGTTTTTTCCCAGTGGGGGGCGGGCCCGCGGGCATGCCGTCCAGGGCACGGGGCCCTGCCACCTCCGCCGAGGGCCGCCGCTGTCGGAAAGCGTGTAGTTGATCTGGCGAGGGCCGCACGGATCGCGGTGGCGCCGGACTATGGCGTGGCGGCAGTTGCGGCGGTGACGTGGTTAATTCGAAGGCGTGCGATTCTCATTAAAAGCCTGTCTCGCTGCTAATCCGTCAGGAGTCGCGTGTTTGTTACTTTCCTGTGAGGAGCGGCGGGGCCTGGACTTATCCGCATCGACAAGGGGATTATCGAGATCACGACGCACATTTAAATTCAGACGCATTTATTTATTTTATCTTTTTGTTCGTTCCGTTAAAGCCGCTGTCCCGGGCGCTGTGCGACATGTCGCTCGAGTGCACGTAAAGGGCGCGCGGGCGCGCACGCGATATACGTTTACTGCGGGCTGCGGGAATGTTTCTGCTGGAGACGGCGTAATGAGCGCATCATTTGTAACCTAATGGAGAAATGCAGGCCACTAATGTTGGCCGTTAGAATTAAATGTGACTGAAATTATGTTAATGATGATTGTAGCGACCTTAATGAGAGCGCTGTTTTCAGAATTAATGGCACCGCTAATGAAAACACACGTACGCGTCGAGTATCTGGTGCAAGCCTCCGACTGAGCTGTGAATCCAAAAACCAGCCGGGGACTGGAACAAATAATCGGAATAACCGTCGGTGCAAATATGTTCGGCGACAATCTGCAACGTTCCCTAGACATTTAAAGACATCTGCAGGCATCATTAGGCATTCACAGACGTTTAAGTCTATCCAGAGACACCGTAAAACATTCACAGACGTTCATGCACATTTTCAGACATTGCAAAATATTCACAGACAATCGGACACTAACTCATTTAGATCATTCAGAAACATCCATAGACATGTTGACGGGTTGAGAGACATTCACAAACTTTCAGACACTTTCAGAGACATAGCTCAAAAACTTTCCTGAAAGATGCCCGACACATTCAATTACTCCCACCCCACTCACATTAGTCACCATTTGTTCTCCACTCAATAATTGTGCTAGGGTTAGCCAGGCACCCGCCATAGGAATGTGGAATTTCTGTGAACAGGAGAATGAGTGCCATGCTCATTTGAACAGCTCTACCATGCCATCTCTCCTCCACACTCCATAATGCATCGACAAGCTCACCAAAGCAGCAGCAGCACGAGTGAAATTGTACACTCTTGCTGGGCCACCAAGGCTCGTTCCCAGGGTCACCACCCTCAACAAGAGGGTGATATGCGACGCTCTCGGCGCGATTAACATCCCCAGTCTTGTCAGTTTCATTGTAATGATTAAAATATTCTACTACTCGGAACGATGTTTTTACACGTAGCGCCTCCCCTCTTCCGTTCGTGTCGGACATTCTTCTTCCCATTAAATATTCCAGTTTTTGTTTTCCGCACCTTGGAGGTGGTGCTCTTCTGACAACGCCCCGACTGACGTCTGTTCCGACCCCCTGCCACCCCGTGCCGCCCGCACGGCCACTGACAGGAACATCGTGGCGGTTCACTCGGAGGACCGGCTCGTGATCAGTGCCTCCTGGGCCAAGGACGATGACATCACGCGGCTGCTCAAGTCTCTGCCCAACTGGACCAACCTGGCGCAGGCCAAGCAGCCCCGTGCTCGCGGGCAGCAGGGCGACACCAACGAGGAGGAGTACACGCGGTGAGTGCACAACTACAAAGGCAAAGGTCCCCCCTATAGCGTTTAACAGTGTTGGAGAAAGTGCTGTTAGCGAGCACCTGTTGTTGTCAACGCGGTGCCCAAGGGGATGGTGGGGTATGGCCAACAACACACTGGCCACTCATTGAAGCTAAGGGAGGCCCAGGATCAATTCAATGCAGATATCACTTTTCGCCAATATAATAAGCCTCGACTAAGAATCAAATTCAGGTCACCAGGTCCACGAAATGGCTCTCGCCGTCTCAAAAAGTGACAGACGAGTCGTTATCCAGATGATGTCATGCTGTGGGTGTCACTTGCAAATGTTCTCATACAAAATGTCCGCAGTGACATCACTAACATCAACGTGACAGATCACCGGACTGTAAAACTTAAGTCACTTCTTCCCCATTAACCAAACTTCACACTTGTATTTGACAGTTTTGAGACATTCAATCTGGGTGCTAATTTAGGAGAAGAGTTTCTTTAATTATTTTCCCCACAGTTTTGTCCCAATCGCGTGCCATTGGCATCGCGTCATTAAGTGCAGAATCTGAAACTCTCACGGAAGCGGATGTCACAGAGCTACCTCCGAGATCCGGTTGTGGTCGTTGTTCAACACAGCAAGGTGGGGACGGGGGGAAGCAGCACTTTCCCAATCGCTCCGCCACCGCCGGCCTGCGTTTACATCCTCACTGGTCGTGCAGAGCAGTGTAGGTTGACTGGAAGACTTCCTCCTCACCGTGTCCACAAAGACAAACATCCCCCCGATTGCCTGTAGGCAAGTTCTGTTACTGAGCACCTATGAAGGCCGGAACGGCACCACGCCCGGCCGCCTTAATCTACCCAGTGGTGATGTTTACGCATCGCACCAGGTTCTCATTTGAAGGGAGGCCCAGAACCGGTTCGGATAATTGTCACTGGCGTTTGCCGTGAGCGGGAATCGACATCGGGTCGCCGGGTTCATAGCGCAGTGCACTAACCACTACACTTCCACTGCCTGTGCGCACGCACACGTTGATCACGTCCTGCCAAACGTTCGCAAGTTGATCAGAGGGGCACAGGGACCTGTTGTTTGTAAGCCAGCAAAAGAAACTTTGAGCTGGCTGCAGACTAATGAGGGTTGCTCATTACAGGCCGAGGCTGCCCTTCCCACCGCTGGTGCTGCTGCCACATCCTAACTACGCTTTAATCATCAGGTTTTTCTTGAAATAATTTCTGTTTATTTTTTCTGAAAGCTGCGAATGAATTTGCCATTTTTACACAGGAACTAAATGAGTTTTGGGTGCAGGACGATATTCGAAATTTGACGAAATGGATTTAATTACCTCTCCCTCCATGGCTGGAAAGCCCTCCTGAGCTCTCTCGGCCTGTCTCCGAGACACGGATCGTTATTGTGAATCATCACCATTAGCGCGATTGATGCCGAGAAACTTGAGCGAGGCAATTAATGCACGACGAAGGTGAGACAAAGGGTTGCTCCCCAGCGGCTCCAATTATGGAAGATTAATGGTGGAGCCGGGGAGGTGTGCAACCCTACTCGCGCACGACCGAGCTCCGACGTTACATTAACCGGTCGGCGGGCGCGCGGCAGCGCAGGTGCACGTGCCGTGCCGTCCGGTTCGCGCCTCCTGCTGCGCCGGCAGCCGACGGCCTCCCCCGTGGGGTCGCTGCGAACATTCGGAGCGACGCGGCTCGTCGGGGGTGCGGTGACGGCCGGGAGGCCGAGGGCCGCCACCCGCCCCCGCCGGATCCTCGATCGTTTCCCCGCGGTTCGCGCGACTCGTAGGGGCGGCGGGAAGCCGGCCCGTCGGACCGGAGCGGCGGCGCGGCCGAGGGGGCGGTCTCGTTGAGGGGAGCGTTAAACTGTCCGATTGTTTCGCCGTCCCCCAGATGGATTCCCTCCGTCGAGGCCGCGTTGGAGCTAGCAAATAGCAATTTTACAATGTAATTAAATTGAAGATGGGGGTCAGGCCGCGGGTAGGGGGAGGTGACGGGGAGGGAAATGGGCAGAGGAGGAGACCGTCCTTATGGCGCGTGAAAAAAAGATTAATTTTCATAATGTTCTGGCCGCCGCCTTAATTGTAATTGTATTGGTGCCGAGCGCGGGAGACGCGCTCCCCGTCGTTAATAACGGCGGGGCGCTACGATTATTCGTGCTTAAGAAGCCGCGGTTGGCAGAGTACTTCTGTTCCTCGTTATAAATAGTGGTAATTGGACTTTACGAGGTTTTAAAAGGCATAACTTTAAGGGGTTTTGCTTGTCCCCACAAGCGCTCCACTCGTTCACTTCGATACGCCGGCACTTCTCACAACGCCAAGCACATGTACCGTTTCCTGGTCCTATACCACGATGTTTCCGCAGAGATGGAAACGGCAGTAAATGTGAGAGGCTTAAAGTGTCAGTGTGTGCGAGTGCGAGAGAGTGTGAGAGTGTGTGTGAGCCAGTGTTTGTGTGACCCGCCTCCACGTGTGCCGTGCCGGCCTTCATAAGGCTAGCTAACAGCACTTGCCCCAAAAGTCCGTGAAGGCTATACAGGGTACCTTTATATTTGTTTATGGCAGTAAACATTGCTGCTGCAGGATGAATAGGTGTCATTCCTTGACATCCACATTTACATTGCGACCAATGCTTACATCCGCACGTTTGTTTTGCTGTGCTCGTACGAGTGGGAGGTGTCCTCCAGGGAGGGGGGGCTCCGGCGGGGGGGCGGGAGTGAGATTTGCGCTCGCGCCACGCACGCCAAAACAAACGGACAAATCGCTCAAAACAAAACAAACCTTCGGGAATTCAATTAAATTACCGGTAAGCAAAATGTGCATCATTGGGTCCATTTGTCAGGCCAATTATCCTTGTCACCGGCTTGCCATTAATTACCAACTAAACGTTAGCGGAGCGGTTATCGGTGTGGCGGATGTCAATTTACGTGATGTCCGAGCGACGCCACGCGGCTGATTGAGCGCGTGAGAACAAATTCAACGTTCGCCTTCATCCGGCCGTGTTTGACCCCGGCACGTCGCCGCCTCCTCCGTCTGCGACCGTTAACCTCCCGCGGAAATTCCACGTTCTCATGGCGAGGGTTAGTCGGGCATAAAGACGGCCATTACAGAATCGCGACGGAAGGTTCTAGGCAGCGAAGCCAATGCCCGTCTCCCTCGTGCACGGCATCTGTCTCGGTGAGGTTATTGATTTGTGTTGATATTTGTTTCACTTCAGTTTGTAAAGTGATCTCACTTGCAATTGAAATGTTTCTTTATGGTGTTTGACATGGCTGTGTTTTACAATTGTTACGGTTTCTGCCCTTGTCTCTTTATTCGTTTTTGCAACTCAGGTCTCCCTTAAGAGAGCGGCGTTTAGCGTAATGGGGCTGTCTACGTCGCTCTGTCAATCCACTGCTAGATGAGGGCCTCCTCACACCGCACCGATTGTGGCGGCTATATCACCATCCTGCACCGCGATGGTCAGTGCCGGTTGGTGAAGGCAGGAATAGCTAAACATGGAGTCATAGCAGTACAGTACGACAATAGATGCTGCTGCACTGCCGTGTACTTCCCACCATAGAGCACCACACTCTATAATACCCCTGCTTAGCTTCTGAGATCTCTGACGAGATCGGGCGCATTCCGGATGATTTGATGGGAGGAATTCTCATTAACATCGTCTCTACCACTGCGTGGGATGTCGCTGCCGTGCTACGCCGTAGCTCTCCGGCACACTTGTGGGTCCTACTCCACGGCGTTGGGCACGATGTCCAACGTCTCGCTCCACGTGCCCGGACCTTGTTCAGGAAGATGACATTACTCCCAATTGAATAAATTGCCAACCCTTGACCGGGATTTGAACTCTGCACATTCCGTCCACAAATCCGGCTTGCTTACCGCCGTTACCGTTTGTCCGCCTCCAGCGCCATCAACGCGAAGGAGTCGGACGTGCTGACGGGGAACCTGGGGGAGCAGCTCATCCCAGAGCAGGCCATCCTGCGCGACCCCGGCGACCTCAAGGCCCTCGCCAACCTCCACGAGAGCCTCGAGTGGCTCGCCAGCCGCCTCAACGGCTTCCTGGCCGACATCCCCGCGGCCCCCGGTACGCGACGACGTGGCCGTGGGGCCTGCAGGCGGTGCAATCGTGCCGGGCGGTCGGGGGATGGGCCACTTGCAGGGTGATGAAGTGTTTGTTGGGGCCAGTCACTTGTCCAGGAGATGGGGGGCCCCGTTTAACTCCCTACACCGGCTCCGATGGCGACTTCGCCACGGAGCACTTCGGGGGCACGCACGGCGAGGGAGTGCACGCACGTCACACACTCGCCCGCACGCATGCCGCACACACGTACACCGCATCACCGCTGCTCACGCGCACGAGACAAAGATCCCCCCTATAGTTCCTAAACGGACTTTTGCGGCAAGCGTTGTTAGCGGGTAGCACCTATGAATGCCGGCACGGCACACTAGGAGGTGGGTGGCCAGCACCAAGCCCGGCCGCCTTTGTCTTCATTGGTACCTACAATCCAACGTCGTCATGAACCCCGATTGATGCACTGCAGGATTCACGTATTTTCGCAAAACATCATCCCTTACTGTGGCGCCACAATCCACCTCGCTCATACACATGCCGCGCACACACGCGCACACACGATTGTTGTGACCTGCAGCATGTAACGTGAGCGGGAACCCTTCTTGCACATCACCGTGAGCGTTGACACCTCTGCGCTGTTATTTACTCACTTAGTCTCAGCTGTTGAGTTGAGAGAGGCAGCCAGCCTTTACACTGACGCGCTCGGCTGTGAATGGATCACGCGTTTCTGGGAACCTAGCGCCTTTTGAGTGGGATGGATGGATATTTTGCCAGCTTGTGTTCATGTCAACAACATCTATACCCTACCCAACAGCGCAAACAAGTCCCCCCATCGGCGTCACCCGGAATCCAATCCCCGTGTCCGAATGCACACCATCGTTTGTTACCTTGTTTCCCTGTGCCTCTGTGTCCCCGTGTCCCAGTGTTCACGTGCCCCTTTGTTCCTCGTATCCTAACTCCGTGTTTCCGTTTCACCATATCCCCGTGCTCACATTAACCCCATGCCCCTATGTCCACATATCCTCGCACCCCTGTATCACATTCTCTCTGCGCCCTCACGTCCTTGTGTCTGTTTATCTTCACGTCCTCCGTGTCTCCACATCGCCGCATCCCCTCTATCTCAGCTCCCCCATATCTCCACGTCACCACGACCACGTGTCCCCCTGTCCCCATACCTCCATATCTCTGTACCCCAATACGAAGTCATCACCTTGTCCCTGTGCCCCCATGCCCTCCCTCGTGCCCCCACGTCTCCGGCCTGTGCGCGTGCCCGCGTCGCCCCCCCCTCCGCACCCTAGTCCAGGACACGATGTCGCCCGCTGGCTCGGAGTCGAGCCCAGATAAGGACCTTCTGTCGGTGCCCGAGCAGATCCTGAACACGCTGTGGGGGCTGACGCGCGAGTTCCAGGACATGGCCGACCGCTGTCTGCTCGTGCTGCACCTGGAGGTCAGGTGAGCCGCCGCCACCTTCTCCACCCGCCCCGCCTGCCCTCCGCTGGACTCCGCCGATGCCACGTGCGCAGCTTCTCGTTGCGGGATCGAGAGGGGTGGTCCCGGCTCAGGAAGGCCTCCGACCAGCAGTGGATTGATCGAGGCTGGTGATGACGATACAGCTCGTCATCAGTCTACTGCGGAGTGTCACCGTGCCACGTCACTTCCAATCCTGACACTGTAGGAGTGCCAAGGCCTTGGTGCTCCGATGGGTCTGAGATCAATCAACCATTGGCTTGTGTGAACTGCCAATATTTCCAATCCATTGCTGGATGAGGGTCTGCCCTCCCCCATTGTAACCATTGTGGAATGCCTCTCGTGCGGGTGCAGTGGGGTAAAGTGTGGGTACTCCCACCTCTTCCAAGACATCTGGCCAGCGTGGTGGAAGAGTAGGCCAAATACCGTCTAGAGGCACTCGTCGAGTTCCCCTTAGTGGAGGCCCTCCCACCAGCAGCAGCGTGAGTAAGCATTTGCAGGGCTCCGCCTTGACCTCTCGTTTGCACGTGTGCGTGCGTTCATGTCTCCCAGGGTGCACTGCTTCTATTACCTGATCCCCCTGGCGAAGCAGGGCAACTACGCGATTGTGGCGAACGTGGAGAGCATGGACTATGACCCGCTGGTGGTGCGGCTCAACAAGGACATCTGCGCAGTCGAGGAAATGATGAACGCCAGCCTGCAGCTCCACAAATTCCAGTACATCTTCGAGGGTGAGCCGGCGTGCGTGCGAGCGTGCAAATGGGTGAACGGGAGTCTTCACAGATTGTCTTACCAAAAATGTGTTAAATTATCACATTTCGGGGTCATAAGTTTGGAGAAGTGGGCTTCAAAGAAGAGCCGGCGCATGCAGACTGCAAAACTTTGTTCATTACAGGCTTAAAGAATCACCTGTCCAGCGTGGGCTACGAGCGAATACGTTCGTTTCAACGGAGGTTGATAGCGTCGACGCGTCAGTTCGTCTGTCTGTCTGAGACGGGGGGGGGGGGGGGGGTCACGATAACTCTCGCACAGCTGATGACTCTCACACGCATGATTCTCTGCGTGTATCCTAAACGTAAAAATCGATTTTAATCCGTGAATCGGCATCGCATCACCAGCGCGCCGCGATAGACAAACCCGGCGGGGTGGGGGGGGACGGCGGTGGCTCGTCACGCTCGCTGCGTCCCCCGCATCCCCCGCGTTCCGTAACCTCTTCCGCTCTCGTCGCCCGCAGGCCTGGGTCACCTCATCTCCTCCATCCTGATCAACGGCGCCCAGCACTTCAAGCGCATCAGCGAGTCCGGCATCAAGAAGATGTGCCGCAACATCTTCGTGCTCCAGCAGAACCTGACCAACATCACCATGTCGAGGGAGGCCGACCTCGACTTTGCACGGTGAGCGGCCAAGGTTCAGTGACCGCGACCTTTTGCCACGTCCCATCGACAGCAAAGTGCGGGTGGTTGGTATGCGGCGCTCTGTGTCAGCGATCGTAATGCCCAGCGCAAGAATGGCGGGGATTGCTCGCTCGCGAGCGATAAGTGTTTAGAATTAACAACGCACGCAGAGGTGTGCATAAACGTACATTTCTGGCGTGCGTAAGGCGCACACAGCCTTTGCGCACGATGCGAAATCCATCGGCATTTCCTGAAGTGCATTATGGTCCTATCGTCCTATCTCACCAAAATACATTTGATCGCAGTAGCAGTGATAGACAACTGTGGAACGCATACTGCATTGCCAGTGTTGCACAAGCACAATTAAAATATTCATCACCTATTGATTATCATTCTGCTTATTTACCCAAGAAAGCTTGACTGAATCTCAAGACTATTTTCAAAGAAGGGTCCTGTCAAGTTATCGCAGTAGGGGGGCGATTTTGCTGCTACCGTGTGTGATCCCGAGTGAGTAATATTCAGGCAATGTTTCAGCATTGGGATGGGTGGCCAATACCGGTTGCATTGTTTTTGTTTAGCTATGGGAGGAAGCCGGAGAACCCAGAAGAAACCCATGCAGAACAGGGGGGAGAATATACGAATTCCTCACAGACAGGCGCCAGAGTCGGGAATCAAACCCAGGCTCTCGGTTTGTTTAAAAACTGTGGCCTGCAAAAGGAAAACGTAATTGGCGACGTGATGTAAAATGGCTCTCGTTCACAGCATGACGTATTTACAAGAGAAGAGTTGTTTGTTTCTTGGTTTGCTCTTTAAGAGGGAAGGCTTCGGATGCTAATGAGCTGATTTACATGAAGGTCCAGACCAAGGTAGAGAGAGGTGGGGGAGGTGTGTGGGGGGGGGTGAATCTTGCGAGCAGCCGGCTAAAGGCACCGCTTTAAATTTCAAAACGTTTTTTGCGTCAAACCCCACGGGGGCCGCCTCCACCGCGCCCCCGCCCGCGCCCCGTTTGGCCGGGGGTTACAAACTGCAGCCCGTGTTGGCACTCCATGCCGCATCACCCACGCGGAACGCGGCCTCCTGCGCGCTGCCGGTGGGGTGGGGGGCGCACTCGGTGAGCCGCGCAAATCACCTCGAGCGCGGAGGCTCGTTACGCCGCTCTGCGCTCGAGCCACGGACACTGAGCAGCGGCGGAGCGGCGTCGCCCACGGGCGGCGAGGCCCGGCGCTTTTCGCTTGGCGAGGGTCGGCGGGTCGCGCAGAGATTTGTGAGACTCTCAAGCCTGCCGCGAGTATACAAGTTGGCCAGGACAATGGCGGTCCAGCGAGTGGATGAGTCCATGTGCACGGAGCTCCGAGTGTTACCTCCTCACAAGTCGCCGTGGGTTTTCTCCGGTTTCCTTCCTCACGAAGCCAAACTCTCATTAATCGTGGAATTGGCCAAACAAGCGCAGTGTCGCAGGACCCTCCTGGATGGAGCCTTGGGACTGGGTGAGGTCTTCGTGGATGAACATTGTTGTCGTCGTGGTTACAGCCGAGCGGTTCCTCCACCGCCTCCACGACCGGGAGCCGTGGTGGGCGTTTGGTGGGGGACGTGACGAGGGACGAGGGTGGGTGGACGGGGTAGGGGCATGCTAACGAGCGACAGGCCACACTAATTACGCTCACGTGATGCGCGTCAATGTTAACAACACGCGTGGGGAGACGTTCGCCCAGCTGTGGATTGAGAATGGCTCATGATAAGATATAAGTTGATGACGATTATGATTATGATGTTGCAAAGCATAATTGTGTAAACGCGGTGTAATTGCGTATGTGCGGAGCACCCATGTGAAAACTGGAATTATATAAAAAACAAGATAACAATAATAATTATATATATAGGGTACATATAATCAATGCTGTCACTGATGATCGCCGTGACAATGGTGGTGCCGACATTGCTGACACCGCTAATGATAGTGAGGCTGTGACGGCGTTGTGTGCGATGTTTATGCCTGTCCAGGAAACACTGCCGCGTGACGCGTGCAATGCACGTGCGTGTGTGTCGTGGGGAGCGGTGGCGCAGCGGTTAGCGAGCTGCGCTACAAACCCGGCGACCTGAGTTCGATTCCCGCTCCCGGTCAACACCGGTGACGAACGAACCGGTCCTGGGCCTCCCTTAGGTCGACTCAGCCTCAAATGAGCACCTGGTACGGTGTATAAATATCGCCACTCGGGATATAAATGCGGCCGGACAAGGTTGGTACTTGGGTACCCCTCGTGTGCCGTGCCGGCCTCCGCAGGTGCTGCTCGCTAACAGAGCTTGCCGCCACAGTCTGGCATAGCGTAACCTGCGGTGGTGACGCGCGCGTGTGTAGGCAGTACTACGAGATGATGTACACCACTCCGGACGAGCTGCTCAGCGTGCTGGTGGACCAGGGCGTCCGCTACTCGGAGCTCGACTACATCAACGCGCTGGCGCTGCTGCAGCGCAGCCAGGCGGGCGTGGGCGACCAGACGGTGCAGAACGGGCGCATGCAGCGCCTTAAGGAGATCATCCGCGAGCAGAACGCCATCAAGCAGGCGGCCAAGGACAAAAAGATCACCACCGTCTAGGGGCCGCCGGCGTGCGTGGCCGCGTCGGCTCGGCCGAGACCAAGGCGTTGTTCCGCGCCGGTATCAGGGGTTGGAGCCGTGCGTAGTCCCGTGTTAGTCCCGTGTTAGTCCGGGTTAGGGTTTAGAGTCCGGGCGACGGCTACAGCCCTTGTACGTCAGGGCAGACTCTCGAGAGACGGATTGGCGGAGCGGTGGCGCAGAGATCACCGCACCGCGCTACGAATCCCCGTGATCCGAGTTGATTCTGGACCACGGCTAACATCAGTGGCGAGTGATATCCGAACCGGTTCTGGACCCCCTTCTTCACCAACCTGTTCTAACGAGCGTGGTGAAGTATGGGGGGTGGAGGGGAGGTCTTCATCCAGCAGTGGATTGGCGAGGATGACGTGTTGGCTCGGTTAGAGTCCGTGCCAGGGCTGCAGTCTTGGCTGTAAGCTGGTGTAGCCGCGTGTTGGGCAAGACGAGGTGTTGGGATCACGCCGAGGTTCCACTTCATCGTTACGCAGCTACAGATTCCTCTGGCTCGGCGTCTCTCGTGGGAACTCGGTTTACGTTCGGTCGCGGATAACGCTGAAGCCACGGCCCTGACCCCGTCTCCCCCCTCGTGCTTGCGCGGAGAGGACCACCTCGTTCGGCCACATGTCGTGGCCGTGTCGAATTAAGGACCCCCGACTTCCCCTCGTCACGTCTCTCAATATATCCGAGTTTGGAGCGTGCGCCACTACCCCCCCCCCCCCCCCCCCCGCTGTCCCCGCTGTAGCTGCTGTAGCTGCTGTAGCTGCTGAAGCTGCTGGAGCTGCTGCTCACCCCCTTCGTCTCGGCGCCGGGTCGCGGCACGACGCTTCGAGTCCACGGAGAAAAAAAAAACTAAACGTGTTTGCTTTTTTATTTCGTGCTTAAAAATAGTCGACCGTGACTCCATCTGGCGTCTCTTTTGACAGTTCCCGCTTTCTCCCTTCCTGCCTCCTGCCACCGTTGCCGTGAGAGTTGGGAGGGGGGGAGCCCCCCCCCCCACCGCCACCATCGCACGCCCCCCCACCCTAAACCTAAAACCCGCGATCGGGGGCGATCGCGGGAGGCAGTCGGGCACTGCCGTGCGGCCAGAGGGCAAAAGCAATCAAGAAATCACAGCAGCGGTTGATTAGTTTAATTAAGCGAACATTACACAGTAATTTCAACGTGAAATCAAGCCGCATTAGAATTTACTCAAAGCCAGCATCATTCCAATCAAGAAATGCTAATTCAGCAGAGGTGCGTCGCGCTGAATAAATTACGTCGCGGCCTCTCTGCGCTGCCCTGCGGTTTGACCGCCGCTCCAGGCGTCGCTGGGTTCGACACGGGTATGCGGGGTCGTGGGGGTCACGGGGAGTCCCGGAGTAGGATCACGTGGTGTGGTCAATGAGACTCGGGCAGTCACAGCAGAGGCACAGCCGCGCCACAGGCGTCCCTTGCCACTGGGTGGATTTATGGACCCCCCCCTCTTGGAAGGGGGGTTGGGGCGTCACGGTACTACCCACGGTTATTACGGGGGGGGGGGGGGTCCCTTGTGAAATCAATGGGAACCGTCAACGTACCATGAACATGGGGGGTCCGTGTGTGGTGGCGTGCATTGTTTAGTGCTGCTGTAGGAATCGTCGTGTGAGCGAGCTGACGCGTGAGAGTGTGTGTTGAGCGGAAACGCAGCTGTTAGCACGCAGCACTCCTCTCCCGGCGATCAGAATTCGATTGCTGCTCACGCCCACCATTACCAGTGACGATGATCTGAACCTACGGTGTATTAATGATCCTTATGGCGGTACCCCGGGCTACCACAATACAAAATGGTCGAGGCAATTAAATAGTTTATTTCTGGGACAGTATTTTGTCCAGGGGTGTACTTCACTCCACGACTGGGGTAGCAATCAATCCGAAATCAGTGCCACTCCGCGATGTCGAAACGCCAAACAGCATTAAAAAATCTTCATCGAAAAATTCAACTGTGAATACAGTGCATCGTGTCCAGCTCGTCGAGATGAGTCGATTTCCGCATCGCCGACCATCAACAGACTAAAAATGACTGCATCACGGACATTGTGAGAGCCGGGGTACTATGGTACCCCGGGGTACCGCCATAAGGTTCAAATATCCCCACTGGGGAGACAAAGGCGGCCGGGCGTGGCGCTGGCCACCCACCCCCTCGTGTGCCGTAAGGGCCTTCATAGGTGCTCGCTAACAGCACTTGCCCTAACAGTCAGTTAAAGCTATACGGGGTGTCTTTGTCTTGTGTCCACACCCGTCTTTAAAAGGGGGCGGTGACAGTAAATATTTGAACCGGTCCTGGACCTCCCCTAGGTCGACTCGGCCTCAAACAAGTACCTGGTGTGATGTGTAAACATTGCCACTAGGGAAACAAAAACGCTCGGGCGCTGTTCAAGGCACACCACCCCCGTGTGTGTCGTGCTGCCCTTCACAGGTGCTTCTCACTGACGACAGCACTCGCCCCAACAGTCTGCCAAGTCCGTACGGGGATCTTCTTGTCCAGCATGCACGAACGTGCGTGTGACCGCGTGCGTCCTAGACGTGTGACGACCGGGTGTGCGTCGTGTGAGTGACTTTCCAGGAGCGTGTCCTCTGTCCCGTGTCGCCAAGCCCCCCCCCCCCCTCCAGATGTAACGCTTTGTGAGCAGCACGATCGATTGCGGCAAATAAAGATTTTTACCTGCAGACAACGACCGCGCACCGCTATTGACTCGCACAGCCAGACAGTCTGCAGCTCGCAACAACAACAACAATCCTTCCCGCGTCAACCACGGTCACCGCATGGATGGCCACAGCCCCGAGGGAAGGTGGACATGGTGGCAGGCGAGACGGTGTATCGCGGTGCTCTTCATCGCAAGGCCCGCTGGCCATTGGCGGCCCCTGGTGACTTTTAGTGCGGCCCCTGATGTGTGGCGCCCGACAATTCACAACAAGTGAAAGCGTCCCTTGCAGGCGGAGTGGCGGCCCTCACACTGACGATGTCCGAAAAGTGAAAGTGGCCCCCCCGTCTGAAGATTATTGAGCCGCCTCTCCCGATATCCTGCGTTCAAATCCGAGTCTGGATGGCCTGTGATTTACTACGTGTTCTCGTTTGTAGCGGTCTCAGCCCAGTCACCAGTGGTATAGAGAGACCCATAGGCTGGCATCTACTTGTGGTTAAACCGCGTTCTCAAGTGTGGCGAGTTGATGGTTTCATGTAGTTAGGTTTGTAACGGCTCAAAGGGTTAAACATTCTTCCTGTTTTATTTCCAACGACTGCAGAAAAAAGCCATAATTTTAAGTTTATATTTTGATATGGCTAATTTGGTCTCTGTGTGGCTCTCCTGTGTAAATGATCATAACATCAGCATCGACAAAAAAGGAAATTGTATTTCCTTGCGATGAACACTTCTCTCCATGGCAGGGCACATGAGAACGCGACAGCACCAGGCACGTCGAAAGGAACTCGAATGTAGTTCTGTGTTGTCATGTTCCACAGGCCGTTCTCTAACATGCGACGCCTGGAGCGACATTGGAATATGGAGAAGAGAAGCCAAACACCGCAGCACCAGGACGCGTCGGTAACCGTGGCAGCGTGGTGGTTGGGCGCTTGCGAAAGTGAAGGAAGGCTTCCATCTAGCAGTGGATGGAGAAAGGTTGATGATGGGCGAGGTTTGTTTGCCGTGAGCGATTTCGAAGGGGGTTTTGTCCGTCGGTGGTTAATGAGCGCATGCTCGAGTGAACATTAATTTTTGGTTTAAATTGACAAACCTGAGTGAGCATCAGCTTAATTGGCTCCAGTGTGGTTCCATTAATTCACAGCCAGACTGATTTGGGGGGGGGGGGGATTCTCTCGCGAGTCCTTGACTGGTGAACAGGAAACTCTGCACTCGGCGTGTTGGTGCGTGTGTGCACGTGTGTGTGTGTGGGCATGTGTGTGTGTGCACGTGTGTGCACGTGTGTGCACGTGTGTGTGTGTGTGGGCATGTGTGTGTGCACGTGTGTGTGTGTGGGCATGTGTGTGTGTGCACGTGTGTGTGTGCACGTGTGTGTGTGTGCACGTGTGTGTGTGTGCACGTGTGTGCACGTGTGTGCGTGCGTGTGTGTGTGCACGTGTGTGTGTGGGGGCATGTGTGTGTGTGTGCACGTGTGTGTGTGTGTGGGCACGTATGTGTGCACGTGTGTATGTGTGCACGTGTGTGTGTGTGGGCGGAGCGCAAGTGGAGCGGTTAGGGCCGCAGCGAGGTTCAATTCCCGCTCACGGTCAACACCAGTGGCGATTATCTTAACCGGTCCTGGGCCTCCCCTAGGTAGACTCGGCCTCAAATTAGTACCTGGTACGGTGTATAAATATCGCCACTGGGGAGACAAAGGCGGCCCGGCGTGGTGCTGGCCACCCACCCCCTCGTGTGCCGTGAGGGTCTTCATAGGTGCTCGATTAACAGCACTTGCCCCAACAGTCTGTTCAGGCTACACCGGGGATTTTATCTTTGTGTGGAGGGATTGGTGGTGCAGAGATGAACCCTACACATCTGGCTGTCTCCCATTGTCGACACTCCAATGTCCCTGCTGTTGCCTCCCTCTCATTTCCCCCAAGCGACTTCTCCCCGCGGTGTCACCGTCTCCGCGTCTCTCTTTAGCGGGCGGGGAGAGGAGCCGGAGCAGTGGAGCTCGTAGGAACGCGAATTTTATTTTTGTATTTTTAATGAAAAATGAAAAGGACCCGTCAAATGAAATTGTTCTGACAAGAGTGTGGAAGTGTGTGGTTGGTGGCTGGGACGCGGCCCTGATGGTGTGAAATGAGATTTCAAAAGAGCGACAGTGCTGAGCGTCCCTCCCCTCCACCCCACTACCCCCCCCCCCCCAATTTGTCTCCACCGCGGAGCGAGGAAGAGTGTCGCTTGACGGCTCGGGGGGGGGGGGCTGTTCCTCTCTGCGCGGTGCAGGAGAAAGGGGGAGAAGAGGGGAGCCTTACCAAGGTAACGGCGACATAATTGTGTCACGGCTATAATAAACACAGGCAGGCACCACGTGTGGATGCATATCACGACAAAGATCCCCCGTGCAGCCGTCGGGGTGGCAAGTGCTGTGGACGAGCAGCACCGATGAAGGCCGGAACGGCGCACGAGGAGGTGGTGTGACCAACGACTAGGCCCGGCCGCCTTTGTCTCCCCATAGAAAAATGTAACGTCGCTCCGGGTACTCGTTTAAGGCCGAGTCGCCCTATGGGAAGCCCAGACCCGGTTCAAATATTTCTCGGCTGTTGTTGGTCGTGAGCAGGAATCGACGGCGGGTCGCCGAGTTCGTAGTCCACACAAAACGCGGTCACACGCACACAAGGACAAAGATCCCCCATATAGCCTTTAGCAGACTGCTGGGGCAAGTGCAGTTAGTGAGCACCAATTAAGGCCGGCACGGCACACGAGTGGGTGGGTGGTCAGCACCACACCCGACCGCCTTTCCCGAGTGGAGATGTTTACACACCGCACCAGGTACTCGTTTGAGGCTGAGTGGACCTAGAGGAGGCCCAGAACCGGTGTTGACCGTGAAAGAGAATCGAACTCGATTCGCCGGGTTTGTAGCGCAACGCGCTAATGACTACACTACCGCTCCCCCCCCCCCGCACACACAGTCATACACACAATGACACTGATCCACACACACACAATGACACTGACCCACATACACAACAACAACCGCCATTCGCCACTAAGTGGCGGTGACGTCACCACGACGCGTTTGCCAGGCTATGTGCACCTTGATGCCACGTGAAGTGTCAAACGCCCGCTGGCAGGAGGTCACGGGACAGACCCAGCAGGTGCCACGGGTCGACTGACTAAGATGACTGAGATGACTGGCTGATGCACCACCTGTGCCCCCTACTGTGCCAACTGGCTGTGCTGTAGCCACCCGGCGCTCCGCTCGTTGTTGTGAGCGTCACTCCTCTTTCCTGGTCTCAGGCTCTGGATCGCCTTCAGTACTTCCTCAACAGATGGCACCTCAGCCAGCCACTCACAGCAGGTGACTTCTTCCAATATTTTAGGCACCGCAGCCTCAGCAGGGTCATCCCATTTTGTCCCACGATGTTTTCCAGGCTGAGGGATTTCCCCTCCCCCAGGACTCCACAGAAATGCTCAGCAAATCTGCAAACCTGTTCCTAGGGGTCGGAGATTGGATCACCGTTCTGTCCCCTAATAATGGCAATAGGTGTGGCATTGTAGGTTACTTTTTAAAGAGCTATTTGTGACACTGACCCACATATACACACACACGAATACTGACCCACACACACAAGGATACTGACCCCCACACACACAATGACACTGACCCCCCACACACACACAATGACACTGACACACTCACACACAAGGACACTGCCCACCACACACACAAGGATACACACCCTACACACACAATGACACTGACCCCCCCCCCCCCCCCCACACACAATGACACTGACACACACACACAAGGACACTGACCCCCCCCACACACACACACAAGGACACACACACACCCACACACACAATGACACTGACACACACCCACACGCACAAGGACACTGACACACACACGCGCGTGAGCGCATTGTAGCATGCTACGCGCGCTCCGCTCTGCAAATTGGCGTGCACGCGGATTTAAATATCTGTGAAATTCTCGAGCAGATGCAGCCCTCCTCCTGCTGCTGCTGCTGCTCCACCTCCTTGCTAACCTCTGCGCGTCGCGATTCTCCCGTGCGGGAACCCGAGGCGAGGTGACCTTAGCCAAGGCGCTCGGGTTTACAGCGCCACAACAATGAGGGCCACCACCAACAACCATCACCACCACCATTGTTAGACGGACACAGAACAGCGCTGACACTCACGGCGCCATGGCACAAACGAGACGCAGATCCCCGTGTCGCCTTCACGGACTGTAGGGCGAGTGCTGTTAGCGAGCACCGATGGAGGCCGGCACGGCACACGAGTGGGTGGGTGATCAGCACCACGCCCGACCGCCTTTGTCTCCGTAGTGACGATGTTTACACGCCACACCGGGTACTCGTTTGAGACTGAGTCGACCTAGGAGAAGCCCAAGACCGGTTCAGATAATCGTCACTGGTGTTGGTGGCCGCGAGCGGGAATTGAACTCGGGTGGCCGGGTGCGGAGATCACTGCGCAAACCGCTGCGCCACCGCTCCCCACGTAACAAAAACGCGGCTCACGCGCGCGCCCCAACACGCGGGAGAGGCATGGACCGCGAGCCCCTCGGCCGGAGCTCGCCAACCACCACAACAACAACCACCACAACAACAACCACAACAATAGGAATAAGAAGAAGAGGAGCCGTCGTCGGATTCGATGGAACAAAAAAAACCTCAATATTAAAAATGCACCACGTGGTGAATTGGAGACGGCGCGCTGCTTAACAAATGACGTCACGAAGCGGCTCCTTAAAGAGCCGCAGGCTGCCCCACCTCGCCCCACCACCTCGCCCACCACCTCGCCCCACCACCACCCCCACCTCGCCCCACCACCACCACCTCGCCCCACCGCCACCACCTCGCCCCACCACCACCACCTCGCCCCACCACCCCCACCTCGCCTCCACCACCTCGCCCCACCACCCCCACCTCGCCTCGCCCCACCGCCACCACCTCGCCCCACCACCACCACCTCGCCCCACCACCCCCACCTCGCCTCCACCACCTCGCCCCACCACCCCCACCTCG